GGCGCATGCGCGGTCGGCCAGGCCCTGCTCTCCCTGCCTGAGCAGGTGCAGGGATGGGCCCCGCTATGGAGCGGAGGCAGCGAGGATGCTGCGGAGCCCCAGCCTGGGGGTGCCGTCGCCTGCTGCCCTTTCTCAGCGCCCTGCTCTGCGCTTGTGGAGACACTAGCGTCGGTCCGGTAGGGACGGGGAGCAGCGAGCTTCCAGCTATGGTGGGTGCTGTAAGGGAGAAATAAAAGGAGCCGGGGGCCGCCCGGAGAGGCTTCCCATTGCGGTGGGGGGAGCGCAGCCGGGCGTCGCCTCCCCACCCCAAGTGGTCGCAGCCTGGCCCGCGCAAGATGCTCCCCAAGCTGGGCTGAAGAGAAGGCAGGTTGAGTCATCCCTAGAGATGGGCGATGGAGCCATCCATACCAATTAGCCTTCTGTCTGGTTATCAGGGAGGGGTTGGTGAAGATGTTCCCTCTTTCTCTGCCAGCGTGGCTCTGTCCTTACCTAAATGGGGTGACGGGGGGGGCAGATCGTAGTGCCCCAGTGCTTTGGTGGTGGTGCTTTGGTGGCTATAACTGCGTCTGTCTTCCTATTTCTCTCTGTTATAAGGAGGAAAGGGGGAAAGCGGGGAGAAACAAGGACAGGGAATATTTGGTTGGGTACCACCGTCCTGAATGGGTTGGAGGACTTTACACAGAGGCAGTGATGCAAAACAGTGGAGGGCTGAGTGACTTTCTCCCAGTAGGAAACAAGCGATGATGATAATACTGCAGGTCAAGGGAAAGCTCAGATAATTGAAGCTCAGGGATTCAGGGAAAGTAAAAAACGAATGATTTCATAGACATATGAACCAGACAAATGGGCCATTCTTGGCGAGGTGGGGAGGGGTAGTAGTTCTGCTAGACTGAAAACATTTCCTATAGAGCCTTAAGGGTACGTTTCCAGTTTTCTAGGGATTGACCTGCCAATATACAGCATCACTGTATCTACATATTATTGAAAGAGTTAGTATTGCTTTGTGATTAGCAGTAGAAAAAACACAAAACACAAAAAGGAAATCTAGCTATGTCTTCAGATAGATTGGTTTTTTTTTTATCATTATTGGTGATGTGCTGATCTTAGTGTGTACTGATATTTCTGAGGTTTTCTGCAAGCTTTGATGGCATTGTGTGAGACTGCTTCCAGTGGTATCAGCTCAGACAAACAAAAACCATGATGAAAATGCTGCTATTGAAGATATGCAGTGGGAGTGATGTAACTTATTTATTAGATTGTTAGACTGCCTTTATTAGTTTATAAGTTACTCAAGGTGGAAAGCATGCATAATGCTCCTTTCCCCTCCTGTTTTCTCCACAACAACAATCCTCTGAGGTGGGTTGTGCTAAGAGAGAGCAAAATTTGGCTTTTATGCAGACGATGAGATTAGAGCTCAGAGTTTTCTGATTTCTAGTCCAGCACCTTTATCACTATATCAACCTGGCTATTAAGAAATAAAGGAAGAGTTAGTTACTAAACACCGTTTGTATCACTTGGAAGTATACATTGATAGCACACATTTTTGGTATTTTGGACAGTATGAAGAAGGGTGCAATTTTGTTTCTATTCTTGACATTCTTGAATATGCTAATTTTAAGGTGGTATACATTTATGATGGATCCCATAAATAATAGGGGGGGGGAAGTCAATTTCCTGATTTTATTTGTATCCTGCCCTTATTATTTTCTACAAATAACTCAAGGTGGTGAGATATCCAACATACCTTCTTCCTCTTGTTTTTCCCACAACAACAACCCTGGTTGGTTGAGCTGAGAGACAGTGACTGGCTCAAAGTCACCCAGCTGGCTTTCATGGCTAAGGTGGGTCTTGAACTCAAGGTCTCCTGCTTTCTAGCCTGGTGCCTTAACTACTATTTCCCTTGGCTCTCTTAATAAACTAAGGAAATATAACAAGTTACAGAGGAGTGGTGGCTGGGCCATCTAACCTATATGTAATTCTTAATGCACAACTGCATTTGTACGACTGAATCTTCCAATGGAAGCTGATGCTATGCCCAAAAAGTCTTGCAATATGATGTTCAATTTTGAAACTAAAGAAACGTCCTAAAACAGTTTGAAATAAATATTTGGCAGAAGAAAACATCTGCTGCTCAGAAAAGGTAATTTTTTGTAGAAATGCCAAGTAATTATTTAGATCACATCTTTTATATTAAATAAAAAGACATTCTTCTGTTAGAATAAGAAACGAGTAGTGTAGCTATACAGTAATTGAGCCCAAAATTTTGTTGCTAAGTGAAACATTTGTTAAGTGAGTTTTGACCCATTTTACATCCTTTCTTGCCACAACTGTTAAGTGAATCATTGCAGTTGTTAAGTTAGTAACACAGTTGTTAAGTGAATCTGGCTTCCCCATTGACTTTTCTTGTCAGAAGGTTGCAAAAGCTGACCACATGACTCCAGGACACAGCAACCGTCATAAATATGAACCAGTTGCCAAGCATCTGAATTTTGATCATGTAACCATAAGGATGCAACGGTCATAAGTGTGAAAAACAGTCATAAGTCACTTTTTTCAATGCTGTTGTAACTTTGTAAGGTCAGTAAGTGAATTGTTGTAAGTCAAGGACTACCTGTACTTGATTTAGGGGGAAAAGTGCTGATATATACTGATTACAAAAATGATTTTGTAATGATGCTTTATATATGTGAGGGGAGGAGGTAAATGCTATCATTGATGGTTTAGATATGCCTTCAATATGCTTCTTGAAGTTTAAATCTTGAAAAAGTCATATTTTGGGCTTTTTGATATAAGTGGAGTATATTAAGCATAAATAAACCTAAGTACAGGTAGTTCCTAGTTTAAGAATGAGTTCTGTTTCCAAGGTTTGTGTTTAAATCAGATTTGTATGTAGGAATAGTATTTTTGTATGATACCGTATAAGTAGTATTGTAAAATGAATTTGAACTATTTTGCGTTTAACTTGAATCACTGGGTATTTAACTTGAATTTTGCTACAATAAGCTACATTCCTAACTATGGGTTGTCCTTTAAGCAGAACGTTCTTAATCTGGAGACTTGTATAAATACATTTTTCTGGATGGAAATAAATGATTGTACAAGCACAGAAATTGCTTTTCCAGTAATAGTTTTGAGTGACAGCTAACTATATTCACACATTTAACCTAATACATACAAAAATAAATCTAAATGGTCTGGATATTTGATATGGAGAACTATCAAATGAGGAAGAAAAAATACATAAAATAAATGCTGTATTTTTACTGAAAGCTATAGTGGTTATAGTCTAAGAATTCTTTTCATGTAGCTGGCAGCACACATTTGAGTGATGCTGTTACACATCGAAAAACATTTTAAACATTTGCTACTTGAACTCTAGAAGCAGCTGGTCTTCCTTTAATGCAAGACCTAGGTAATTTACCAACTTAATTTGATAGTATATTGTGGAAATTTTCTCTGGAACACAATTTAAAGATGGCAATATTTGGATGGGTTAGCTCTGGATTACTGAATCCTAGTTTGTAGAACCTTTCTCTACTATTCATCTCTGCCACTTACTCTGCTAAATCTACTCAACATTCAGGTGTAGTCTCGTCTCCTATTGTTTTAGAGCAGTGGTTCTCAACCTTTTTAATGCCACGACCCCAACTGGTCGTAAGTCGAGGACTAAACTGGTCGTAAGTCGAGGACTAAACCGGTCGTAAGTCGAGGACTACCCAACCGGTCGTAAGTCAAGGACTTTCCCTGCCCTGGAGCGCCGCGCATGCGCGGTTCCGCCCCCTGCACTGGCCGAGGCGTAGCTGGCAAGCGGCAGAGACGGAGCAGGCCGATCACCAGCTGGCCCAGCCCAAGGGAGGTAAGGCACCCGCCGGAAAAGGGAAAAAAAATGGCCGACAAAAAAAATGGCGGACAGTCTTGCTTGGCGACCCCCGTGAAATGGTCGATCAACCCCAAATGGGGTCCCGACCCACAGGTTGAGAACCACTGCTTTAGAGAGATACCATGTCATAGCCTTTTAAGAAAAGCATCAACAATAGAACCGATAGAAATGAGAAGTGAATACATTGCCTAGGGCAGAGGTCCCCAACCTTTTGGGCACCAGGAACCGGTTATGTAGAGAGAGATTTTTTCCATGGACCGGAGGGGTTGTGGTTTTGTGTGCTGCCTGCATCCCAGACTTTGCTTGTTTGTGCGGCCTTGTTGCTGGCATGCCGTGGCCCAATACCACTCCATGGACCAGGGGTTGGGGACCCCTGGCCTAGGGAACATTACTCAGAAGAGCTTTATAAATGGGATTGTGAGAAGAATTGGTGAATGGAAAGAAGGGGTTGACTATTGTTAGAAGAATCATTTAGTTGAAACTTTAGTTGAATTCATATATAATGCTAAACCAGAATTTTTAAAATTAAGGCTTGTTGAACAAGCTATAATTGATCCATTCACATAATGTAAAGCCATTGTGGTTGAGTTCACACATCTTGCTAATCTGAAAACAAAGAATTAGGAATAAATCAAGTCCTTAAATTAGTCAATAATAGCTTGATGTAGTAACAGCTATCTACCTGTGACCTGGTCTAATAAGTAGTTGCCTTCACTAGAAAGAACCTGAGACTATCACTAATTTGAGTGTATTCTGCAGGATCCAATCTGGGTTGATTATCATGACCAGAGGTTTAGTTGTCCAAGCTTTTGGATTCGTGCTGGAGCCCTCCTCAGGGAACTTCTGAAGAGCTCCAGCACAAGTCCAAAAGCTCAGAAGTCTAAACCCTCTGGTGACCAACCCAGATTGGATCCTGCAACATTATCTTGGGACACATACATTCACCTTCATTCGTGAATGTATTCTTTCTACAACTTTAAACTGGACAGAGTAGAATCCTTGTAAGTTGGCATCTTTTCTTGCCCTAAGCTCCATAAGTACCTTCAGGAAAATGTTATATTCAAATACACCAAAACACATTTTCTAGAGCAGTGGTTCTCAACCTGTGGGTCGGGACCCCATTTGGGGTCGATCGACCATTTCATGGGGGTCACCAAGCAAGGCTGTCCGCCATTTTTTTTGTCCGCCATTTTTCCCCCTTTTCCGGCGGGTGCCTTACCTCCCTTGGGCTGGGCCAGCTGGTGGTCGGCCTGCTCCGTCTCTGCCGCTTGCCAGCTACGCCTCGGCCAGTGCAGGGGGCGGAACCACGCATGTGCGGCGCTCCCGGGC